ATTTGATTTTTTCAATTCCGCTTTCTTGAAATGATTCGGATATTGCCTCGATCACAGACCTGAACTCAAACGTTGGTTTTAATTAATCAGAGTTTAGCTTAAAGATCTGAGCACGGGAAATTGCAGCATTAATTGCACATTTGTATTTTCTTCAGGAAAAGTATAATGGTTGTAATTTCTGCCTTTTAACCACAGCTGCGATAATGGTAATCTAATGTTAAGCTGTGTTCAACACCGATGCCAATTCCTTTCAACTTAATTTCCATTCATGTAACATATGACAAAGTGAATTGCTGTACAAATAGATAAAATGTTGTTATGTTGAATATGCGTTAATATAATAAAAATATAAGACATGGAATGTAAATACAGCACCATGAAATATTAACAATTAAATTGCACAGTAATGAATATTTAATAGAAATGATTTATAAAATCTCTTGTTGACTTAACAGAATCAACACTTTATTTCATACAGAAATAGGTCAAGTATGTAAGGCATTTAGAATTTCTTTTTCTACATTTTTGGATGAAAGCATTTATATTATCATTAGAAAACACAAGCTTGGCCGTTTTCCATTATTCTAACACAAAATATATTCATGAAATTAATTACTGCATTTCTTCTTGAACAACAAACCGTACTATTTGTTACCCTGCACGTCATATCTACAGTATTTTCTCTTATCTGGCCAACCACATTCAATAATAATGAGTTGAGGCCAGATCTCTCCAGTTGTAATTATAATTTTAGCAGGGCCAATGTGGATTTTTGGCACAACAAGTGTGGTTCTGTAAGTTTAGCATAATAACTAGTATTGAAAGTCTATTAAATGCTTCATGTACCAACAATCAATCACATAGTATACTTAGTCTTTTGGACATGATTTCGCACTATAAGTTTGTCAACTCAGCATCCCTTTGGGAGATTCCTTTTGTGTAATGGTATGAATTTGTGATAGACTAGTTATCTAATTTTTGTTACATAAAATAAATATGGCATTGAATTTCATAAAAATTTAAACCGAAGAATGTAAAGGAGATAAATAAATAAATCCCATTTTGTCCTTGAATTTATTGCCTTAAGCGAGTTAACGTTAATCATTTTTCTCATTAAACTAAAGCTTGTTGTTTTATTTAAAGTTAAAAGTATCAAGAAATCAAGCTACGTGTATAAAAGAATGAAGTTAAAGACAGTAAACAATACTCCAGAAGTATTGAATCTTTTGAACTCAATCGTTGATTTACAAGAGAAATGTTATGAAGAGAAAAACAAATCAATGTTTAAACGATGCATGGTGCCATTCATTCTGATTTCTTCTTTTGAACAATCTGACATTAAGAGGAATGAGTATCAGTGATTTTGTGACCATGAAATAACTTGTCTGAAGATAGTCGAGTATGAAATTTAATCAAATCACAAGAAGAAACCAGACATAATACTTATTGGCTCAAAAGAGATGTTTCATACTGTCTGATTCTAAAGAAAAGACCAAGAAATCATTATGGTGCTTCATTTTTTCTTTTGTATATTTCGAATTAATCTGTTATATTACCAGACGGCTGCCAGATATTCACGCTACTGTTATGACATTGTTATGATATGTAGTCATAATTTTTGGTCTTTAATGTATGAGCTATTCCCCCGTTGCACAATACTGAGGTATTGTCCAGTCATGGAACACTGAGAAGGTTCTAATAGGTTGTTCGCAATCATCTATTTCGCGATGGCTTTCTCTTCCTTGGCACTAAGAAGCCAACTTTTTTCAACGAGGACAGGCTATTCTTCATTGATGTTTAATCATGACTGTATAAAATTGTTCGCAATCCTGCCCATTATGTCTTGATCTTCAGAAGGGGGTTTTATTGTTAACGTTAAGTTTCATGGGAAGCTATTGAAGTTCTTGATCAGAGCAATAGAAAAAGCTACATCGTTTAGCACCAGATTATATGTATGATATTTATCTTCTGTCGTCAAGGGTAGATGACGAGGATATAGTTTGTGACTTTTCATTGAATTTTTGTTACTTCGCTTTCAAGAGAAATAATAACGATAAAGCATATTATTCGATCTTCAAGTCTCAAACGACTTGTTTAAATTAGCAATCCCTACAAGTTTTGTCAATTTATATTTGATATTTTTATTCATGGATGTTTTATTTAAAATTTTTATTTTAAACTTCAATGATATTGTCAAATACACTGAATTATTTAAATTAATGATTCCCATCACCAAAAAGGATGTGAATTTACAACCAATAAGATTCAATAGCCACAGTGGACTCGGTCAATTACAAAGATGTTTTAGCAACCAGTTTAGTCCACCTTTCGTCGAAGCTGTGCGTAGACAAAGAGGGTCTGGATGATAGATATTTGGCATGTGTTTTTACTTTTGCTTTTTCTAGCCAAGCACCTTTTAAGGTCATGCTACGTATTATGTATTCGGATTATCGTATACCCGAATATGTATTGTAATCATTAACGACTCCGAAAAAACCCTAGGGTCTTTAAAAGAAGTAGTCCACTATTTACAAAAATAGTTTATTGTTAAGGGATGGGAGATAGGTATTTGAATTTCATATTCATCCCAAACAAAAATACCATTTTACGCACTCATTACTTAATATCGTGAGATACATTTCACACAGTACAATAGATGTTCGTAGTAAATGTAAATCTATACTATCCAACGGGGACGTAAAAGCGTTGCAATTATGACTTAGACGCATTGAAATGATCTCAAATTCAAGGATTTATGACAGCCAGCCGTACTAAGTATGTATTATGGTGATAGCCGCATTAGCAACTCAAGGCCTTGGTATCTGATAATCAAATATATTAGTGTATAAAGATGTCTCGTAATTCGATTCGCTCAACACTATTAACTGATGTGATTACAGAAAACATATTTCAATAAGTAACATTTGTACTTGAATACATTGAGTATTGATTATAATCAGGAAAAATTAGCTTGTTCTTTAAAAGATCTGGTCCAAAAAAAACACTTTTTTTTAAGAATTCAAGCTGTGACATGATGGTTTTAACTGATATCGAGTAGTTAGCCTTGGCATATTTAAACTATGGCTTAGAAAAATGTATGAATGAGTTCTTAGAGTCAATAGAAAACTTCACTCGTTCAAAACACTGTAGAAGCGTCCATTATCAGTACCGCCAACTGTGGTAGTACCAGTTAGCTTAAACTGTAATAATCCAATCTGGTAGCCTGTATTTCCGTTCATGTTATCTCGATTAGTAAGGCAATGTGTGTTCGTGAACATACATTGGTTCTTGTAAATCTGAGGAAATAATGGAATGTAGCAATTCCCACTTAAAATACATTAAGGTCTTAATCGCATTTTAAAGATTTCTTTTTCTTTCAAAATCAACATTGTTCAGAACATATAAAAACTTAAATACTTACCTAATACCATATCAAATTGAGAATGTCTTATGAACGGTTTAAAGTACACATTAACATTTCAACAATATATTTTTCACTGCTCGGGTTTCAGATTCACAATAATCAGACGTGACTCTATATCTTAATCAAGTTGAAAACTTTAATTTAACAGCTCACGAATCGTCAGAACCCCCTTGTGTATTCGCAATTTATGCAAATTTGCGAAAACATAATTTGTCGATAAACCCTGTAACAGAGTGGTATCAGTATTTGTAAATACGAGCTTGCTTCTGTTTCGTACATCCAATGGAACATATTTTTCAGTTCACAATAACGATACATGCTAACAACTATACTTGATGGTATAAACAATAGTATAGGGATATGGATAGGTTTACTAAATCGTTCGCTTAATATTTCGGTCAAACATGGTTACATGTTAACATTATACATATTATATCGGGTTTTTCCTTAGGTCGAGATTCCGTGAGATTAACGTAGTCTTCAGTAGCTCGCTTATCACTGAACTTGCAAAACGTCTCTTCAGTAACAGAGATATTTATTCAAATTAAAAAAAAAACTAGAACTGTTCTAATAACAGTACTGATGCAGGGCGTGTTACGACATTCAGGTGCATACGAAGATGATCTATTGCAATTACATTGATGTAAATACGTTTCTGCATCTCTAAATGCGTAAGTGCGTGGAGTTTAAAGTATATTGACTGAGAATAAGAGAATGTTTGTCAATTAATAAAGACCAAGTTTGATGAATTTCAGATAATAAATAAGAAAGTTGGTAATGCGCATGTGCACAACAAGATTTCCATTAAATTTTGAATTGGATTATACTCATACCTACCAAGTTTGGTGAAAGTTGGATAAGAAATAAGAAAGCTTCCGTAAGCTCAAATTACAATATAACATGGTTCAATCCCTCCCAGAGCTTATTTATATATTATAGCTGGACAAAAACATATTAAACAAATATAAAAGGGAGTGTGTCTTTAAGATGAAAATCTGGCATTTTGATTTTAATTAGAGTTGACAGATCGATGACAGCGTATTTAGACTACAGCAATTACACCATGTTAAGTGTATGGGATTTTGAATTTGCATGTAAGGCATACATGTTATATATCACTGGAAAGCTCAGGATCTCAGCATTTGTGATCTGTTTTGGCACCAGAAATTTCAAATCAATCGGACGCATAGCGGAGAAAATAGAAAATTTGGTCAAATTTTGCGAAATAAGGCTAAAAAATGTGTGCTATGAATTTTTAAAATTCGAAATTTTTTAACTGCTATCACATAAGATATTCGGGCGATATTCTAAAACTGAAAACCCGAGCAAAATCGCTCCAAAATTGCGCCTTCTGGAGTCAATTATCTACTTTTTGCACATTTTGCAATGTGCCACTATTCGTTTTGCAAAATTGTTCCAATTTATATTCATTAGTTAAAACACCGAATATGCAGATCCAATGCATTGCTAATCTTGCAGTAACTATTACCGTTTCTGCAGAGTACTCTACACAAACTCATACTTTTTTTTGCAAGTACGAAAACAAAGCAGGGCGTTCGAAGAACAAAAAAATACAATGTCATTAGCAACTGTCCCAGAAGCAGCAGCTGGGTCGGAAAGTCAACTACAACGACAGGCACGAGCCTTTCCTGGTAAAATTCGCCCTGACAAGACTACAGAACTGACAAATAAACATAAACGGTCTGAGAATTGTGCTTTATTCACTATTACCAAAGTCAACCAACCTATTTGGGTAAATTTAATTGGGGACACTCGCACTATGAGTCTGCAAACTATTATTTTGGCCGCATTAACTCCCCTGGCTCGTCTTGCTGAACAATTAATGAAAGGTCCACTTGAGGGCGCTGAAGCTATTAGAAATGGATTCCGTTTATTGACCGATGCTAAAGCACTTTTCTCTGCTGCCAATATTGACAATAACGGTGGTAAACTAGTTCAGATGAAAGGAGAAGTTAATTCTAACTGTCGACCTCAGATAAAGTTGATTTCACACCTGATCAAGGTAAGAATGTTGAGGTAGGCTTAATCAAACCTTTGAACACTGAGAAGCTTCAATCTGACAATATAAATAGACCTATGCCCTATTATTCTAAAAGGCATACTTTAGTTGATATATCAGATGGTTTCTCAGAAAATGGCACTTTTGTTGCTGGACAACAAGGTTTGTTCAAACATGGAAATTGTACCCTTCTGACAATTGGGACAGCAATTACTGGAGTTGAATTGGGATTCAATTCCCTTCCTCTTCAAACTGGGTTACCAATACAACGTATCTTTTATGACACCGAAAAGGAATTCATTCAACTAGAGATTTCTAAATTATTAAGCAAGATTATTCAGAACGATACTGAACATCACGGAATTGAATAAATATATAGTCTATAGACATTTAAAGATGGATACAGTTCAAACTGTATTCGATCTCATGCAGCCTTCTTGCTTTATGGTATCTTTAGATTTGCAAGATGCTTATTATTCAGTGCCTATAAATACCAGTTTTAGAGAGTATTTAAGATTTCAATGGGAAGGTGTTTTGTATGAATTTACGGCTTAGCAGGTGCTCCATGCATTTTTACAACTATACTCAAGCCTTTCTTTCCACCCCTTCAAAATTTAAGGGTTACATCAAGTAAATATATTGATGATATAATTTGAATGGGTTCTTCTGAACAACAATCTTTAGAGAATGTTTATTTTTCAGTGAAGCTTCTTGTGTTTTGTTATCAATCAGACAAATTCAGTTTTTAAACCCGGGCAAACCATTGAACATCTAGGTTTTATCATAAATTCTAGCTTGATGATGGTGCCCAGTTTGCCTCCTGTTACGCATGGAGAGTTGTTTTATAGAAACAATGAAATTGAAAAAAATCGGTCACTCAAAAGAACGAAGGTGACTATGAGAGGCTCGTGACTTTGTCTACATTTGCAAGCAAGATGTTCTTTGGTGGTGCCACAATTTAAAAGAATCTTCAAGATCTTTGGTTGAAACCTTTCCAAATGTCACTATGCTTCTCTTTCTGGATGGGGTGTTATCCTGGAAGAATAAACAACAGGTTGTCGCTGGAATGTTAAATAATTTAAGCTGCTTTATTTGGACTCCAATCTCTACGTTTAGATAGGCATAATGAGCATATACGTATTCAGTTAGATAATACAAGCGCTGTTGCCTATATTAATAACAGAGGGGGAAGTAAATTCCCTTCTTGTAATCAAATTGCAAAGCAAATTTGGCTATGGTTATTGAGCGTCAGATTACTCTATCTTCCAGTCAAATCCCTCGAGTGTCTAATTGCATAGCTGACAAGGTCCAGAGTTTTCGAGTACAAAAAGTACATCATGCTATAGTTACAGTGCCATATTTTCCAACACTGGCCTGGTTTGCCAAGTAAACTACCATGCTATTTCAAATCCCAGGAGTGATAAATCTAAAGAAGAATTCACTTGTTTTAACTGGAAGCTATAAGCATGTGGAGGAAACTTTCCTATCAGGGAAGGACTAGCACAGCTTTTTAAACCCATATCTTATGTTTGTGCTTGGTTTGACTGGATAAAATTGCGATCAAACCTTACATATAAGTCTCGTATTTCCACAAAAACATTAAAAGTATTATAAACTAATATGAAAATAAAAAGATTTCCAACTCAATGTAGTAAAATTTCTAGAATATTCTTATTTTTCCGGAACACCCAACTATACTCTGCGATATTGTTCATTATCTCTCTTGTTCACGTAACTAAAACAATGTTAACTTGAACGTCAAGCTATTGCAATCAACTCTGTGGACATGTATACTTTGACAAATAAAGCTCTGAAGATGACGTGATAATATTGAATTACTCTAAATGTGGAGTTAAAGCCAATTTAATGTTATCTAACATGTTTCTGTTTAATGTTAAAACACGGAAGCGAAAAAGTAACCTTTAAACAATCTGATAGTTTACAGGAACTTGTTTCAAGTGACATACACGTTTATATTATTTTTTATAGCCCGACCGCACAAAAAATAATGACAGAGATCCATATTTTTGTCGTGTACGTTCGTACTTGTATGTCTTATTTAGGATTTGAAGTTCCGTGTTACTCTAACTGACACACACGATTTTATCGACTACTTGAACCACTTTCTTTTTTCTTGATATATGTCTCGCTGAACCACACACGATCGTATACATTTTGTAGAATTTGATGAAACATCCTACTGTTTTTTTGGTTTCGTTAATCCGCTTTTGTATCAAAAAGGTTGTGGGTATATATAAATCACATGCTTTGGGTATTAGTCGCAACGAGCCTGAAGTGTGGGTTGTTATAATAGATTCCTCGGTTTTCATGTACTGTACATGAGAAATGGATAATGTCATAAAATTGAGAGAAGTCATCTTGCTTCCAGACATTGAGTTTCTGGTAATCGACATCCAATAATTGACCATAATCACTTTTATCTCTCCGAAGGAATACAGAATACAGTCGCCATATTAAATAATAATAAATGGCTTTGATGTCAGAATAGAGTCGTGTCCAATATAGGTTAACTTTCTTAATACGACAATCCGGATCCCATCCAGTTCGTTTTAATGACCCTGTCACACCTTAACGTATAGCATCAGCGTATGTTTAGCATATAAAAACACAGAAATTAGTCCCATACGCTCGCAAACTTTCAATAAATAAGCAGTCGACCTGAATTCTGTGCCAAAACAAACGTATACATAACGAGCGGGACGTATTCATACCGCATGACTAGCTTTTGGGTACCGTAACTAACTTACTGGTAACGTATTACAGCGTGTCACAGCGTTTTTCTAGCCTGCTGCAAGCGTATGACTAGCGAATAGAACTTATACCGAGCGTATGAGTAGCGCATGCGCAGTGGGCTTGGCACATACACACAGACCACGTGACGGCGACGCTCTTAATTCTGGCAGTAGGCGCCGATCCATAAACATGCCTTCAAACCTTCAAGTCAAAAATTACGAAAAAGAGAAACTCAGTTTGTTGCCGTGGCAAAAAGAGGGCGCCACCACTATCCCACTCACCACCATCTCCATTCTCGCCATCGCCCAATCGTATAGCTTAAGATGCTACCACTGATGACTCAAATGCCCGAGTCGTCCACCGCTCGCCGTCTCCATCCACTGACCGCAGCTCACGTGGGGAATCCGTCTTAGGTTCAGTGGCGGATTCAGAGGTCTCTATTGCCTCCAAGGTAAAGAGAAGTTACTTACTTATACGTTCAATACGTCAATAAATTATGCGTTGCAGATACGTTAGGTATAGGTTAGAAGTAAGTTAGTAGTACGGTAGCTGCAGCTACTCGTTTCAGCTGATGAGTTTCAAACGTATATCGACTTATGAATAACTTTGCTGTTCCTAACGAATAACGTATTGGATCCTACGTTCCGTACGTCGAACATTTTTGTGCATGGCCAAAACTTTTTGAGAAGCTCAACGCATGCCAGCATTTGACGCCGTGCTGTTAACGTATACCACTTATATGCAGCGTGTTTGAAGGCATACGGTGGCATACGCTAATGCTATACGTTAAGGTGTGACAGGGCCATAACAATCGCCATTGCTAGTAATGTATTATTTTAACATATGTACGTCTACCACACAGATCTGATACATTTTACTAAAGCAATTTACATGGAGTGGTAAAAGAATTACAAAGAGAATTACAGAAAGGAAAACTTCATGTTTTACAGCATAACAACCAAACTTACTCTGACACTTCCGGCCAGGGGCCTAATCTCGGCAAACAGAAATTGGGCTTTTTTTTAATCCCGGCTCCCCTGTCAAAAAGAAGGAGTTCGATATTGCTCCAATGTAAAGAGTGTCTAGCTAGTTAGATATTATTGTGTGAGAGTCGACATCGGGCTAACTTTCGAAAGCTCTTACAGAGGAATCAAAATGTTTCTATTTAGAGGAGGGTTCGAAGCCACGGCACCTAATCGCCTAGCTACTTAGGGTAAGAGAATAAACAGCAATCCTGCATGCCTATGGGTGTGGAAAAGGCTAATGTCACTGTCCTGCATCCTGCTTTTGTCGGCATTAACCCAATATAAAGCAGAACAATCGTTTGTGTCTTATAACGATTCCAACTGATGCACTGATCAGTGGTCAATCACATACGATTACCGCATTAACAAGCTAGCAGATAGTCACAAATGCAATTTTCAATTTTCAAAGTTTAGTATATCATTCTGTAAATATAATGAGAAATCTGAAGAACATAATCCAATCAAGGAAACTTGAGCATAAAAAATACTACGACCATCATCGTCTCATATCATATAAAAGAACAATAAGCTAGCAGGAGGAAAATCATATTACATGTATATTTGTCCGATTATGATTTGCTGATTTATATATCACGTTTATCAACGTGACTTTCTAAGTGAAAGTCAAGAAATATCAACACAGTGGTCGTTATAACAGTAGGTTAATGAATAACAAAATGACAATATTATATCAACGATTGTAGGATACCTAATAAGAAACCAAATCAATACTAACAACCTTTACGAACATTGTCGTTTTCTTCCTTAACAAACTTATTGCTGATCTTGTATAATTAGAATTGCCTTGGAACAATAATCGCGAGCTTGAATAATTGATGAGAGATGAGTTTATCTAAGTGTATCGTTACATCCGGTACTATTTACCGACATGTTTACTAAGCTTCTCTAATAAAGGGGACAGAATAGCGAAATCGTATTTTCATGTAAGATCTTATCGAACTAAGCTTGCCGTGTTTCTTTTTCATGACATTACTTGTAGTATGTTTTTCTATTATTTATCGTTGGACATATTTTCAGAGCTAATCAAAAGATTGTCAATCAGTGTAACTCTTTAAGACACCTCTCTCCAAGTCCAATGGTTCATACAAATAATGTCCAAGAAGCGCGGCGTTACTCCAAAGCTAGAACTGCATCTGCCAGTTTGTAATTCTTTGCCATGATGAGAGCGATGTAAAATACCAAAACTAGTTAGCAAAATATTTTCACACCATCGTTAATCTCGTCTTTATTGTCCATGGTTATTAAAACATACATTACAAAATGTTAGTGAAATTGATAAAATGATAAAAGATATGTATCAGTGTCTGGAGTTATCTTAAATGAAAATCTGGTTTCTTGTTAATAACCTATCTATGTAAATGGTGGCTTTATTTTAATAATTACAATGACTTTTTCATTAACGAGAAATATATATTTTTTTAAAAAATAGGCCAATCGATTCATATAAGATTTGAACGACATACAGAAGCGAGGAGCACATATAACAAAACACAAGGCAATATTATGGAATGTAACACACACCTTTAATAAAGTTAGGCAAACAACGTTTCAACACAATATACACGTGTCGTCATCAGATGTAGTGGCAAAGAAATAACAAAATATTTACCAACAAGAAACATAGAGATTGAGAGAGACAATAAATAAGATAGCTTGCCAGGCAAGGTAATATAGGCCCACTGGCAGCTTTGATTTTAAATAAAAATATTTGAAAGTACAGTAGCAATTACCCGTATGAAATATTCAACCTTACAGTTCTTTTGAACTTTTTGAGGCGATACTGAATAATATTTCCAAGTTTCATCAAAATCTGTCAAGAATTGGGCCTTCTAGAATGTTTACAGTATAAACTTGAACGCATTTTTAAGAACAAAGGCAATTAATCATTTTCCTGATTTTCGAAAGGGTTCATCCTTGGGTGATTACATTCACTCACACCAAGTTTCGTCGAAATCCATCAAGAATTGTGCCATGAAGAGTGTTTACGTGCTAAAAATTGAACGCAATAACTTTACTCATATCATATATTTTCCAGTTTGTCTGATTTTCAATAGCGTTCATCCTTGGGTGATAATAAACACTCACACCAAGAAATCCGTCAATAATTCCACCTTCTAGAGTGAGCGTTTCAGGAACAATGGCAATAACTCATACTAAATATTTTCCGATTTTTCTGATTTTCAAAAGGCTTCATCCTTTGGTGATAACAAACAACTATACCAAGTTTCATCGATATCAGTCAAGAATTGTGCCTTGTAGAGTGTTTACGAGCAAGTGTGAACGGACGTACGGTGTTTTTGACCTGGTCTTTCATTCTGGTGGAGAGGGGTCTGCATGTTTCGCCTAAGTATATGGCACTAAAGTTACACAGTCTCATATTTAACTCCACTGGGGTCAGGTTTCTTGTTAGATCTTGGTCTGCCGTTAGCTGCAGTGATTTGATGTTGTTACTTGAGGTGAAATATGAATCTATGGATAGTTGTTATTTTAGGAGGCGTCTTATTTTGTAGCTGGTAGGACCTATTCTGGGTTTGTCGGCACTGGAACCATTCATTGATATTCTTCGCGGTCTGTAATTTAATTACGTTTTTGTTTGAGAAAGATTATGTAACAAAGTAGTAGTCATAAGATCATATCGAGCCGTCTCGATTCAAGACGGGAGACGTTCTCAAGGTCTAAAAGCACACTGACAAACAGAGGACGGGCATTACTCGGAACACTTCCTCCTTCACTGCCCTCTTTATCATGACCAGCGTTTGCGAACAATTCATGAGCTGAACCCATTTTATCTTGATCCCCGGATTATGATAAAAGGTGATGGAAGTCTATCTGTAAATGGTAAGAGCTATCTCTGGTTTGATGATACTGTGATCTACCTTTAACTTGATTTAACAATACTATGATCTACTTTCAAATACTATGATTTACCTACAATACTTATAAAATCTGAAGATACATCCTGTAGTTACTTGGTTTGGTGATACTCTGATTTACATCCTATGCTTACTTGGTCTGGTGTTCGATGATCTACCTCCTATACTTACTTGGTTTGGTGATTCTATGATCCACCTCCAATACGTACTTGGTTTGGTGATACTCTGATCTACCTTCAATACTACTTGGCCTGGTGATACTATGATCTATCTCAAATACTTACGTGGTCTGGTGATACTCTGATCTACATTCTATACTTACTTGCTTTGTTGATACTATGATCTACCTCCTTTTCCTACTTGGTTTGGTAATACTATGATCCACCTCCAATACTTACTTGGTTTGGTGATACTCTGATCTCCTTCCAATACTACTTGGTCTGGTGATCGATGATCTACCTCATATACTTACTTTGTTTGGTGATACTCTGATCTACATTCTATACTTACTTGCTTTGTTGATACTATGATCTACCTCCTTTTCCTACTTGGTTTGGTAATACTATGATCCACCTCCAATACTTACTTGGTTTGGTGATACTCTGATCTACCTGCAATACTACTTGGTTTGCTGATACTATGATCTGCCTCCTATACTTACTTGGTTTGCTGATATTATGATCTACCTCCTATACTCACTTGGTTTGGTGATACTATGATCTACATCCTTTTCGCACTAGATTTGTTGATACTATGATCTATGGTCTATATGCACCTAGTTTGTTGATACCTTAAGCTATATTATATATTTTATACTCATATGATTTTGCCCTCGGCACTTATTTGGATTAACGGTACTATGATATACTCTTAATACTTGCTTGGCTGTGGTACAATGATTTACCTCCAATACATTTACTTACTTGATGTGACGACACTGTTATCTGTATTCAATATTTACCTGGTTTCATGATACTATAAGTTACTTTCATTCTCTACTTCGTGACACGTTTTCCTTATGCCATGATTTACCACTTACTTGATGTTATGATACTATAATTTACCTACAGTGCTTACATAACTTCAATCCTGCTCACGAACTATTTTTAACAAATTTCGACGCGTTTTAACAAAGTCAAGGGCAATAACTCAAAAACCGTCAAATGCGTCAAGTTAGAACTTGTCCGAGATCTTATGAATTCCAATGATCGCACCAAGTTTCATCAGAATCGGATGAAAACTGTAGCTTCAATCCTGCTCACAAACAATTTCAAACAAATTTCAAGGCGTTCTAAGTCAAGGGCAATATCTCAAAAACCGTTCATCGAAAATATGTCAAATTCGAACTTGACCGAGATGTTATCAATCTAAAGCATCACACCAAGTTTTATCAAAATCAGATAAAACTGTAGTCTCTATAGTGCTCACAAGAAATGTTGACGGACGGACCGACGGACCGACGGACAGGGGCGACGACAATATACGACCACATATTCACGTGGGCGTATAAAAAATGTATGGTTAGTATTTGAACGTTTGTCCGTGTACGTATGCAAATGTAAATGTTTTACATCTAATTGGAATAAAAAGTCACAGAAGCTCGATGGCGATACATATTCATTATCACGAGAATATTGCTGAACAATATACCGATCACTTAACTCGTCCATTAAATATATATACCATTCCATGAAAGGATGCACAATTTCTATAGATTGTTCAGAGAAATGTCTGTAAAAATATACTCATAGTGAATTACCACCTGAACATGAAAGGCAACCTTTCTTTCCTTTCTTCAATCCAACCATCCCTGATATCATTATGACCCAATGAAACCTTGAAATAATTTTGACACACTAATTGTTTGGCGGTAACCAGTTTAAAAGAAGAACATTTTAGATTTTTTTTTAAATAGGTTAATATAAATATAAGGAATCACATTCATTCCATAAAAAACACACAAACCATTCAAATCTATATCCATTTTAAAAATGTTCATAAATAATAATTTAATCAATGTCACTTTGAACTGGTATCAGTGGTAACAGTCGATGAGGAAACAAAGGAATGATCTGAATATAAACTAAGTAATTTGTCGAATTGAATCGCGTTGACCACACAGTAGATCTTAAGTATTAGACATTGTTTATGAGTGTGTATCGACAGAACAATAATTAGTTCGTTTAAGTTGAATTAGTTCAATGGGCCATAGATACGGAGGTTCTTGTGTTTGCTCGGCATTACTTACTGACGTCCGAGTATGATTTATTTCCTGCGACGGAATGTATAATAATTTTTTATTGGTGCTGGTGTACGAAAGCCGGGTCAGAATTTTTTTTCACTTCCTACTTCCGACTTCCAAGTTTTTATTTCACTTCCGACTTCCGATTTCCAAGTTTTTTACTTCGGACTTCCAAATTTTTTCCTCCAGCAAGCTGGTAATTAAGCCTACGCTTTTGTGATCATATCCAATGTTGCTTGTTAACGCGATAGAAGTCACAGTTGTCATCTGACCTCAATAAAATTTGGTTTAATTTATATCTAAGAGTCCTTAGGCACGTTCAAATTAAGGTATGATTTCACAGAGGCATAACAGAGTTTCACAACTGGTCCGCTATGCTAGAGCTTGTTCTCTTTATAAGGGCTTTCTGGCAAGAGGTCGAATATTAACCGTGAAATTACTGAAACAGGGTTACTTGACACAACAAGTGGTTGCCTAGCAAGATACGCCCGCTTTCCTGATACTTTTTCAGTATATCAAGGGCGGTCACCAATCTGTGTCAAATCATACCAAAAATCCCATTTGTGCACGATATAGTTGATTTAATCAAACACACAATATTCAATAAAATTCTGACATGAACAATCGCATTAACAAGCCAACGAATTTGATGCATTTTAACTAAGTCAAGAGAAATAACTCAAATTCCGTTTATGGAGAGATCATCAAATTTGAACTTGTCCAAGAATTCATTAATATAAATGATCACACCAAATTTAATTAAAATCAGATAACAAGCCAATTGTGGACCGACGGAAGGACAAGGGTGAAGACAATATAAAAACCGTCCAACGAAGCATCATGAATATCGAACTTGTCCAAAATCTCATCAATATATAAATGATCACACCAAATTTCATTCGAATCAGATGAAAACTGCAGTCTCTATTGCGTTAACAAGCCAATTTCAATTCGTTTAGTCTAAGTCAAGGGCAATAACTCAAAAACCGTTCATTGAAAAATTGTGAATATCGAACTTATCCAAGATCTCATTAATATAAATGATCACACGTAATTTCATTCGAATGAGATGAAAACTGTAGTCTCTATCGCGCTCACAAGTTAATTTTGACGCGTTTTGGTTAAGTCAAGGGCAATAACTCAAAAACCGTTCATCAAAAAATTGTGAATATCGAACTTGTCCAAGATCTCATCAATATACAGTGAAAAAAAAGTTGGAAGTCGGAAGTGAAAAAAAAACTTGAAAGTCGGAAGTTGGAAGTCCTGACCCGGCTTTCATACTGATGTAAAGAAAATGCAGTTGGAAGTTTAATACTAACACAATTTTTAAATCTTTCGACGACGAGTGAGCGATGAACGGAATCTACTACTTTGTAAGTGAGAAGGTATTTAAGTATATTACCACCCCACTCATCAGTGAAAGCAGATATTCTTCACTCAATTAAATCCTCTTTTTCAACTTGGAGAATCTGGATTGGCTTTGAAACTCAGCCATATTGTTTGAATATTTCGCAAGCGATACCTCTGAACAGTATTAGTGTGGTTGTGCCCAAAACATCTTATGTAATTGAACTTAAAGCTAATAGATTCAAGAATGATAATCTTGTCCACCAGGGGAGTTATCAGTAAAACTATATGAGCTAAATTAGAATTTACAAACCTAGTCCCAGAGAGGCATACGGTGATTATTTGCCTATTGGTTAGCTTTTAGCGAAAATTAACCCTATTTGGATTAAAATAAACTGTAGAGTGATCCAGTTACAACACAGATACATCAAAATCATACACAATGAAAATATTACAAATATTATCAATGATAACATACTAACCTTTTGTTTAGCAGCAGCCAATTGAAGCCTCCTCTTGTTTCCCTCATCATTGCGAAAATTTTTAATCCAAATATTGTAGCCGATTTTAGAGTAGGAAAATATCAAAATTGCAAGAGGAGCAAAATAGTGAAGTATCATCAAGGCCAAACTATATCGAGATTTTTCAAGATCACTTTCCCATATTTCAAGGCACTGTCCACTTGTGTTAGAAAAATACAAAATTTGAGAATGTAACAAAGTTGGTAACGGAATCGCAAGCGAAATCACCCAAATTGCTAATATAACAAATACTGTTTGTCGGGTAGTGATACGCCTTAAAAATGGGTGCACTATCACGACATATCTATCTATACTCATTGCCACTAGAGTATAAGAACTTAAAAACACAGTTACGACTTGAGAGTACATCACAATCGGACACATAGCAACACCAAACGGCCAATAATTCTTCAAATTAGCCACAAAGGAAAATGGTATACAAAATATAGCCACAAGAATGTCACTCACTGCTAGGTTGAAAATAAAATAGTTTGGTACTGTATGCATTCGTTTATAAGCCAGAACCAAATAGCATACGATTCCATTTCCACTAAGTGCAATAAATGTAATCAGAAAATACATAAAAATTAGAATTATTTCCACAAATTCGGAAACTTTCCATGGTGAATTTTCATCAGTAGTCGTTGTTGAGTTCATATTACGACGTTATACAAAGTTGTCTTTATCGGTGACAAACAATCTTTTCCTAGTTTTCCGAAGTTCAAAACTAGTTATCATTTTTCGTACTTGTAGTTTTCCAATTATTTGTCAATTAGCACATATAGGCTTACATCAAAAAATAGCCTGTTGATAATTTTTAACGTCACGTACAGTTTCATAACATGGTAATACGCCATTGTAAAATTCACTTTCTGTTGTTTAAATCTACCAATTACCTTATTTTGTATTCTGCTCACAATAACAATTCTGCAATAGATGTTAAAAATTCATTTTTTGTTGAAAATGTATGAGTAGTTGTGTTCAAAAATTAACATTTCCACTTCAGAGCATCGATATTTTTAATCGAACGAATATACCATTTCGAGATCTTCATCTTCTCTTTTAACGAACTTCACTTATTATTTATTCCATGTAAAGCCTAGATAAAGAATTTCTAAAACGAGCCATGTCGTTAAAGTCGAAAATTTCAGATGATTGTGAGAAATGTTTGATGCGTATAACTTCATATTCAATGAACAAATTACCGATCAGTGAACTATATTTACTGCACACAGTATATCACGCCAGATATCTACCACCAGCCTTTAATCAATACACGTTTGGGCACTTTGTTTCCATATTATATTGAGTGTACACAGACTGGAATAGATGGGGGACTTTCTAAGCATTTTACGAGTACTTCATCCACAAAACATTTATTCAGTTCATATATAATATCCCTGAAACAAAAATAAGGTGAACTTTAGATACGTTAGAAAGAACATAAATTGACTAAGAGTTGCATAAACAGCTATTTCGACCACTTTACTTTATCATCTTATGCCCTTGCTAAAATTTGTACATCTTTACACTAATTCAATATAAGATGAGCTTTGTCATTCGATTTTTCCTTGGTTTTATGATGTCATTAAGAGTTGAAATCTAATCAATCCCATCAGCACTTGGGCTTAGACGTTCTTAACTACAAATAACAAAATAGAAGTTAAACATTATAATTTTTGTTGGCTTGTTAAAAAAGAATCGTTCACAGATACCTATTCACATTATACTGTATTTTACCCATTTTTAACAGCATTGTTAATGAACCTCACAGCCACGACCCACCGTTGCTTAGCATTTACGACATCATCAATGTCACTTTCCAGTTTGAATGTGAAGGATATATTGGTACTTTGAACATTTGAACATTTGGTCATTTAACAGCCAAGTCAACTGCGGTTAACTTCTCTATGTTAATATGTTAATACAAAACCCAAGCAATGTGGCAGCACTTGTGGTTCAAGTAAAGAGTTATCAAAAATAAACTTCAGTGAAAATCCAGCTTAACTTTACTAATAAGAACTGTATAACTGTATGAACCGCCTCGATAACTTTGTAATATGAGATAAGTTTGAACTAGATTTTAGTATTGACGGATTCAGGCAATAAAACGAGACTATGATTGACACAATAATACTCTTATGATTTCTTTGATAAAATTTATTACCAGAAAACTTGGTAACGATTTTCTTTCAGACAGTCAGTTAAAAATACTCGCTCAGATAAAAGCTTTAAAAGAGCTTGATTGAATCATTTCTTATATATTTATCACTTTCTCGCTGTCGTCATAAGGTAAAAAGCCAAAAAAGGTTTAATAGTGAAATTAGATTTAAATATTTCGCGTTATATAAGAATTGGACCAGTAAAGTGAAAAAAAAAACATGCTTTAACCTGTTAAAGAGAATTTGGTTCAATATTATATTGTATGCTGTTGTAAGGGTTTACCACATCATATTAGCACTACGTTTCGGCTGAAATTTGTTATTTCGTAGTCAGGGAGAATGGTAAAGCTTTGTTTTTGTTTAAATATACGACCTACTGTAGTTTATCCTCTGGCAGTAGATAGAACATGGGGTATCAAATCGTATTATCTTTACAGATTGAACTGATGTTGAATCAGCTATAAATTTAGCTGTTCAACGTGAGCAAATTAACTTTTACCCATCAGATGATGAAAATTTCATTAAAATACTTCACAAGGTTTTGATGTGCACATTCCTATAAGGGACATAGCAATAATATTATTTAAGAAATATCGTGAAAAGTAAATCATTCTTGTTTTGGCCTTAGTATTGAAATATTTCAAAAATTTGTTAAAATTCCAATTGGCACTAATTAATCATATGTCTATATTGACGAAACCAACTGATTCTGGTAATAATTTGTCGTATCGCTGCTCTACCATGTTGTACCCTGAGGTTCAATATCTAATTAATATTGTTATAATCTAGCATAAACTATAATGGCACCTTAAATACTGCTCTTTACCCACTATGATGTGATGAATGTTGTTTCATAATGAATAGATTCTTGTTTACATTCCATTATTGATTATGTATTTTGCCATTTAGATGGTAGCTATAGGCAAATAAAGAAAATGTAATGAAGGTTGATAATTAAAGGACACAGAAGCTCAGCGTATTTTGGAATGTTTTGTAACAGATGATTTCCAACTTTGAAATGAACCAAGGTGAATACTCTTTTATAAAGAAACGCTAGGATGTTGCTAATGAAAAACGCATTCGTGTATAATCAATAGCCTATGAATAGGTTATAGTAATTATTATTAGCTATTTTATTATTAGTATATCATGGTAAAATTGATTTACAAGAGCATGGATAATCGGCTCTAGAAGTCGTATTTTTCGGTCGATTTTCTTTGGGTTTGCATTTTTGGAATCTACTGTTAAAATCTGAAAGAATAGCAGTTTCAAAATTTCAAAATTCGAAAATTTGTCGCAGACATTTTTTTTGCCAAATTTTGCATTTTTTTCATTTTTTTTTTTGCTTTTTGTCTGATTAATCAAATTGAGCAAAGACAGTTTAAGAATGTAAACATAATGGTACAGTCAAATTTTCAATTTCACTTCCGGTTTAAACAGGAAAACGATGTTCACTTCCGGTTGAATATCTTTCGGTGTAATTTGTATAGGACAAAAATTTTTATGCTGATAGGTAGACAAAGTTATGACAAAAAAACGAAGAAAAAAAAAATCCGGAACAGACGTGAAACTTTGGCCGCCATTTTGATTTTTCTGAAATGATTCGATTTTTATTCAGACATAATGGCTCATCCGATTTAAATGATGTTGGTGTCAAATGAAAGAAGATAAAAAAAAAACATACTTGAAATATGTTGAAACATGATTTCTGATGGAAAACTGAATATTTTGTGTGACTCGCTCCTGGCCTTTAGTGATTATATTATCGTACATGAACTAGTTATAGTTACTCATAGCACCGTCACATCGGAAAGGCGTCCTTACTACGCTGTTACGGTGACCGAAATTTGACGACGAGTCTGTTAAGGTCGTCAAATAATTAGTATAAGCGTAGGGGATTTGCCAGAAATCGTGCAGTGGTTGTCATTGTTGCCCCTGATCGCCAACATGTATCTACAAGGTCCTTAATGCTTGAATCTTATTTATTATTTTTCACTTTTAATATTAATGAAAAACAAATATTGATTTTGATAAGATTTATACTAGATCGTCTGGCAGCTGTAAGAAGATGTTAAAATGAAGCTAATATCCTACTACTCATGATCTCTTTGTCTGTATTAGCTGTCAAATAGTGGGCTTTGGATTGTTCAATATATCATCCTTACGAGAATTACGAGAAAATAAATGTTCTAGTGTAGTTTGTGGTTAAAAGACATCTATATCTTCACTGACTATTCCAAGAGTATTTTCGACTGTTCATTTTCGGCCTGGATCAGAGTGGATCCTAAGGGAATGTTGCTTGTTTACCGATCCATTTTAGTGCACCGTTTAATTTGATATTTGTTTAAGGGTAAGGGGTGGAGTCGGTGACTAGGACCTTTCCTTAAAGTAGTTTTATTGAATCGTAATGATCTTCCAACGTTTCCCAACCTAGGAACTTAAAAACGATTCATTGTATCTAGCGAGACGGGTATTTTTTACTGCAGTAAGACTTGCTTGATTATGAATATCCCCTAAAGGTTTTAATGGTATTCCATTTTGCAAGGCAATAATGGAATGAATCGATTTCAAGTTCGGATAAATTTCCACAAGAATAACTATAAATACTATAAATGTATTGTTCTTGATTATACGTGCCACCTGATACCATTCGGTTGATGTGGTCTTGACTTCCTATTCCCCATCCAATCGCCGCGAATAAAAAGTCACTTTTTGTTATCAATAATCATTTAGTGTTAAGCATCGCCTCCTCCATTTGCTTATCGTACATTTTCTCTATTTCACATAAAAATCAAAACATGCGTATACGCATAATATTAGACACGCGATATCTAATACAATCAATCCAGCTGGAAATTTATTTGAATAAACACGAATAAAGACTATTCAAATGTTTTTTTGTTTAACTTGTGTAGACTTATTCCAAGCTTCATATATATATTAAAACTGAAGAAAGTATTGCTGATCAGAACTGTAGAAGCTTGTCATTTACTATTTATACGCCCACATCCAGATGCATGCTTACTTTAGCAATGTCAAAGTTGCATTGTCACTGTTGATATGTCTATTAATAAACGACCATACAACATTACCATATTATTTACTATCATCTGTGTCGTGTGACACACGTATATCAGGCCATAACCTGACATAATGACACAACCCAATATTTATATCACCATCTAATTGACGTCTTAATGGTGTTCCTGTCTCGTGAACTTGATTCTGTAACACGAACAAGACACTTTGCCGTGCGTTTATTCTGATATACATGTACAAAATTAACATCATTAATAGACGATAATTCGACGATATCAAAAAGATCTCCATATCAACTGACCTTTTGTCAGAATGTTGGTAATATTACACAGACGTATACTATCATAGCCCTAGTTCAACAGCCAACTTCAACTAAGCAATGGTTGTGATCCAATATATCCCATATTCATATTGTTTCAATTTGCAATTTTCGATGAATTTCTTTTTTGAAATAAC